ATGGACTCTACCACTTTAAAGTTCAATAATTCATTCCTTTTGTTTACTATATTAATAAAATATTATAAGAAACAATGGATAAAAATAAAAAATAAAAGAAATTATAAAATTTTAGAAGACTACAAAAAATATATGAGAAAATTAATTCTATTATAATTGACATGTCCCCGACTTGTCTTGTCTTACTTTTTTTTTGGAAAATTACGTATCGATGTGTTGACTCATGTCGTTTCCATGTCGATGCATTACAGCACTAAGGGATTTGAATGGGTAAAATTGCTTTTGTAGCTGCATGGTAGCCTTCCTATCTATTGCTTATATAGCCCCTACTTGACCTCCATTCGCTAAAATTCGTTTTTTTTCTTCCAAAATCATTTTCAACCACACATTTATCCGTATTCACAACTTTTATTAACTTTCCAACTACATATTTCATCAACTTTTATCAAAAATTACTAAAAATCTAATTTTTAGCTAAATCAAATATGGACATATAATTCTTGCCAATTGCCTTCCCTAGGGAACATTAGTATTACTATTCTAGTTTTGTCTTGTTCGTTAGATCTTGTAGTGTCTATCTTGTTTGGCTTGCAAATTAAAATGCAATTATTCACTTGTGCTATTATTACTTTCATTCTTTTGGTGCGGGTACTCATAAACAATTTTATTCAATATTTGTCGGTTTTGCTTTGCATATGTAGGTGATTGATGATGGTTATATGGATCATATGATTTTCGTGAAGTTGAATTCCTTCTACCTTTCTTGCAAGACATATGGAAGATGTATTTACATTTTGCTTCTATTCACTTTAACGCATTACCTTTTGCTATTTATAAAACTATCCTTTTGCGTGAAGGGTGCAGTCAAAAGGTGGTTTTCGGTGTTATTCCCTTTAATGGCTCAAAGTGTTCCACTTGCTTTCTTGAATTCAAAGGAAGTTTCAGAAAAGTGTTATTCCCTTTAATGGCTCAAAGTATTATTCCCTTCTATTCACTCCTGTTTTGCAGCAGATAACTTTGTTAGATAATTTATGTGAATTCAAAACACTAAGTCGCCTCAAACCCTACTACATGAAGAGCGGAGTACAGTATAACCAGCTAAATAGGACGGTAAAGGTAGAAAAGGATGCAAGCTTGTTGGCCTCTTTATTTCCTTCACTATGAGTAAAATGACAAGAAACACAACTCACATCCCGCATGAGAGCTACAATATCAAATAGAATAGGTGTCACCTTTACTATGTTGAATGCATTTTATTTATGGCAGGTGTATTATTTAATTAAACTATAATTCTGATAAATTTAAATTAATGGAGTCCGTAGATTCAATCAAGTCTTTGTAACTTATTATTAATCACAAGGAGTTGTGGTTGTGAGATACAAATTACGTATGATTAAATCTTAAATTATCCGCGTTAGTAAGTACTAATGAGATACGATTATCGCTATTACGGATACACCAATACGTGTGGATGTTTTAATAAGAGAACAAAACATCGAATGCCCATTGTAGAGATTCCATATGGATAATTATTTGAGTGTCAGTGGTTAATCTCGGTAGTGAATGATTAATAAAGGATTTATCACTCTTAGATAGTAAGAGAATATGATTTACACTTCGTCCGCTTAAGCTAATATAGAAATCCTTGGCCAAGTTAAGTACATAAGTTAAAGAGTTTCGACGATTATTCACTTAAGAATGGGACGAAAGATATGATCGATTAATTAAGATGACATATCTTCATATCTTGTAATTGACTGAATCACATTGAAAAATGGGTTATAATTTCGTGGTAAACGAACAAGTTCGATTTTATCACACCACATGATATTTCTTGTCAAAAATGTATTGTCATGATACATTGCTAGATATTAATTGGGGATGACGACGAATGTGTATTAATTGATTTGCGTGAATTAATGATGAATTAAAAGTAGAGTTTTAATTTATCTTATTTTTAAATAATAATTCACATCGTTCGACATCATGATCGAGAACCTAATAACTCACACACAGAAGAGAGAACTAGAAGAATTATATTAAGAATTGATTAGATAAGTGTGGAACATTTGTAGAATAAATTGATTGAATTGTTTATTAACGTGCTTACAAATTAATTAACTAATGGGAAAAGTGTAATTTATTAGATTAATTAACTGATGGGTCGGTTTATATTTAGTGGGTGGGTCCAGCCCACTTAAATATCTATTAATAGATTACTAGGGTTTAAAATTTTCATAACACACCTTACAATATCATAATCTTGCTAGTACAAAAGAGAGAAACACTAATCTCTCATTCTTAGTCTTTCGTGTGGATTATAATTGGAAGCTAATAATTTGACAGTTGTGGTGCGAAAAGATCATGGAGATCAAGATTCACTAGAAGGAGCAAAGATCGTGATAAAGATTATCAAATGAATTTGAAGAATTTAATAAAAGTATAATTCTAATCACGATTTCTATCTAAATACAAAGAGGATCCTTGAATTGAATTGAACGTGTGCTCGACCATTTTGCACGGTACCAGTCTCCCCATTTTCCTTTCCATTGCTAGTACTAGCTCATTGAACAGTTGAGGCAACCTCCACTAGCAGTTCATCTTACCTCCGAATTTTGCCAAACAAGGTCGAGCCCCTCTCTTTCCAAACCACCCAATAAGCATACTATTTGTGCAAACTCCTCACCTGAAAGCGCTACCAAAGCTCCATCAGTGTCTCCCCATAGTCATGCCCAATACAGGGGTTAACAAAATTCCACCTGCCTAATTTTTTTCACCATACTTTAGCTAATCCATAGTTGAAGAAAATATTACTTCATATAACGACATTGTTAAAACATGTACAAGTACTTTACCCTTACCAAAGTTTCCAATCGAGACATGAAATATCTATCATCAGGCAATTGGACTCCAAGAACTTTCACAAAGATTCAAAGAGTTATTGTACAATTTTCCTAACCAATAAATAAGCAAATCTTCTCAGTTAACTCCTTTTACTCTAGTTTATTACCTACTTGTAGATCAGTGATTGCTACTTCAACGAACAATTCAATAAAAAAAAAAAAAAATAAAGAGTTATTGTACAATTTTCCTAACCAATAAATAAGCAAATCTTCTCAGTTAACTCCTTTTACTCTAGTTTATTACCTACTTGTAGATCAGTGATTGCTACTTCAACGAACAATTCAATAAAAAAAAAAAGACAACTCGGGAACCTTAAAAATTGTATGAAAAAATAGTAAAAAGATGGGTCTCTATATCACCCTTCGAATCCCTTTTGGTTTTAAATATCCATTTACAATCAATGTGCTTTACACTTTTAGACAATAGGATGAGTTATTAATTAAATTAATATGGATTTAAAATCCTTCAAATCTGCACGTGTACTAGTTGAAATAGAGAAATATTTGCTGAGTTGGTTAAGATTCGACGTGATGGAAAGATAAAGTAGTTTTTTTAGAAGGTTTGAATGACATAATATATTATATTATCCACAAGTTTCATACAAATCCTCCAAGGATAGGTACAAAATCAGAATTNGTGAAAAATGAAATTAATCTACACTCCGTAGGAACACGCGCACACAAGGGTAAAAAGGTAAGTGAAAATTCATTTGCAACTACGATGGTAGAACATAGTGTTTGTGATATAGTCGTGTTGGAATATTTACATAACTCTGATAAAGAGCTCATTGTGTATCATATGATGGTTATGATCATTGAGTACGTTACGAGCATTTTCATGTGTATGCCTGACATACGTCCATGGTTGAAAATCTAGAATGCACAACATGATTGTAAAATTGAGTTCCTCATAAAATATTTGATTGTCCACTACTAGGGCACCGAGGCATGTGAGGCGTGCTTATGTGATATGGTTTGGCACCGCGGGTGATACTTCCTAGTTGATTTCAAAGGTAGATAGGGGATGGGCCTTTGGTGATCACAGGAGGGTGGACCACTCAACTGTGTTTGGAATACTCTTATTATTTGCGCTGTCGGGTGGGATACTTCTTGGGTCATAGGGGGCAGTTAGGGGATGAGTCTCTAGTAGTCACAAGATGATGGTCCACTTGTCGGTGTCGATGTCAATTGGCCATTTGATTATTGATTATTGATATTGATATTGTGCAGAGCTCTATATCCGGTGCATAGTAGGTGGGTCAAGGGCCCAATGAAAGATTTCAAATGAGATTAATTCAAGTCGACTTTGACGAATATCTGAGCATGATACATCTTTAGCATAATGTTTAAAGTAAATGGCATAGTGTCATATACTATTATCACTCGTACTCATGATCTGCATGATTCTTACTTACTGAACATTGGCTTTATGTAGTTCTTGCATCGGCATGGAACTTCCTAAGAGACATGGCTGGTTGTTGAGCTCTTATGGGATTCTGAAGTTTGAAGTACATGGACGACGACCTGTAGGGTTATTTTGGTAGACTCCAGTTGTATTATATTTTGTGGATCCTATATGACTTTTGAAATGGCATGTAAATACTTTTACAATCTCATGATAAATATGTTGGATTATAGTTTTCTGATCTTTAGTTTCAGNAATATGTTGGATTATAGTTTTATGATCTTTAGTTTCGGATATACTTTTGGACATTCTTTCATTTTATTAACACACAAAAAGTGTGGGTGAATTTGGATGTCTAGATCAGGTCATCAATTGTATTCCTACACTGGTTAGTATATTGTATGAATGGGGTGTGACAAAGTGGTATCATAGCAATGTTATATTTCTGTAGACTGTCCATGTACATGATCTCGGAGTACGAAAGAGCATGGCTAAGCCAGTAAGTTTTATTTTATTGCAATCATTTTGTATTCTTCATGAATAATATCGACCTATCTTAATTACGACTGTTCTGTAAACAGATATCGCAGTCATGGTAAGAACTAGAAGTGAATACAGTGGAGAAAATAGAACTCCCAAGGCAAGAAGCAAGTGTCACATATAATAATAGGGATTTGGTTATTGATAGTATTATGGAGCTGGTGGAGCGCCAAGCACAAGAAATTCAACAATTAATGCAACAAAAAGAAATGGGAGAACAACAAAGGGCTGAATTCGTGCAATCACCACAAAGCGCTGAACAAATTGAGATAGTTGGGGAAAGATTTAGAAAATTAAACCCTCCAATATTTGAGGATGCGTTAGGTTCAACGGCAGTAGATGATTGGTTGAGAACTTCGAAAAACATGTTTACATACAGTAGAGTCTCAGAAGTGGAGAAAGTTGTTTGTGCATCCTTTGTGTTGCAAGGTGTGCTAGATACTGGTGGGAAAGGATGAGTAGCATTGAAGATGTGAATGCTATAACTTGGGATATATTTAAAAAGTTATTTCGTAGTAAATATTTTACAGCCCCAGTTCGAGC